CTTCTTTCATGTAGGACGCTGTAGGCTACATTATTCAGATCAAATTTGAAGTTGAAGTGCTTCCAACAATCTTTCACAGAAATGCGACCCTTGCCCATCAGCGTGCTAGCCCGTGTGGGAAAATATTTTGAGCAGATAATAGCTCTTGAAAGTTCCCAAAACACCACAATCCTTTGACTAGATCAGACATGTGTTTGGTGGTAAAAACAACAGAACACTTATGTTGTCATCGACATCATCCACGCTAGGAGGATGTTTTGGCACGTTGCCCAGAAGCACAATCATTGCTAAGGGCACTTTTGTCCCTGCAGTAAGTCTTAAGTTCACGGCGGAGTTCATCACAAAAAGTACATTTCAGACACAGCTTCTGTTATTCAAGCACAATTATTGTAGATTACAATTTTTTTACCCTCACCCCCCCCTTTTTTTTTCAATCGCGCTATAGTAAAAACGCATAAAGTGAGATCGCGTCTGACGAGGGCAGTACAAATTCATAACACGGTGAGTGGTTGCCCCAGAGGTGCCGGTGCACCTCATGTCGCAATGTGTGTACACTTGCTGGTTTGTCATGAATGCTGAATTTTAGTGACAGACTAGGTGTTAACACTTCTGGCGGCAGTCCTACACATTTGATGCGCGTGTGAGCTGTTCAATTTATGCCTGTCTGACTTTTCACATAGGACATGGATGGGTCTTTTCACCCGTACAGGAACGGACCAGTCACAGGGTGACCTGTTTGAGATCAAGCTGGAACCCCAAGTGACATTACTTTGTAGTTTGTTGCCAGTACACAGGCCATCTCTTGATGTCATTGTTCAGCCATGCCACTTCTAACTTCCTGTTCATTGGGATTTCAGGTTAAACAATTCGATTTTTCATTGTTATAAATTATTTCGAAGCCATGAGACTGCAGAGGTTAGTTATCTATCAGAAACTAAGAAAAAAAAACTGGCCAGCACTGGAATGCACGTGAACGATAACAACCCTATCAACCATGAAGTGTCATTTGGTCTAAATACACAGACTGATCATCATGTACACAACGTGTTTTATTGTCTGAAAATGGCTCCTAGATAATGCATGCTTATTCCACGATATCTCTGACAATGGATCACAAACATCACACCTATTGACTCAGAAAGAATGCTGAGGAAGATCAGAACAGGTATGCTTTGTGCAGAGTGGCAAGCTTCACTGCAGAGGACACAGGTGAGGAGTATTGTCTGGATTTTTTCACCGGGTATGCCGGTGTGTTGGGAAATGAACAGGCAGACAGACGGGCTGGCTCTGCACAACTTGGTGGAATACTGATACATGATAAGGCAGACGTGGTTACTGCCTTGTGGGAGAGCGTGTACAATTTGGAGGAGCAGACGGATCATCACAGTCTGGTGAGATTGATGCAGTTGGGGGTGACGAGAGGTTCTGGCAGATGCTCGAGACTCAGAGGAAAGGCAAGATGGACATTTAATCAGAATGCTACTGGCATCATTAGTATCGGAACTCTTCGCTGGCTGCTGAAGATGGGGATGGAGCACTTATGGGGATGCCCCAAGTGCTGTGATGTCCGTTCTTGAATTAGATCAAATCAAAATCAACACCTATTGGCAACAGTATAAGAACTGCATAATTAAAACACAATGTAACAGCCGGGAAAAATCAAGTGATAGAGATTAGTTTTAAGAGATAAATCTTCTGACAGCATTTCACTGAGCATGAGAAAGTGTCACTGAAAGAACTGACATAGTGATGGAAGATGGTGAGATGAAAGATTCATCACTCTGCAAGGCACTTGATGACTAGTATCTGTAACATGTGGCCAGTGACCTGGTTTTAGTTGTTTGTGTGTATATTCAATCTCAGCATTGATCTACCTGTCACATGAGATTCAACAGTGAGCCTTCGATCACACCAGATTAAACAGCTTCAAAGGAAGAACAAAATTGCTTGGTCGAAGCCTGACTATAAATAGTATGACAGAGGGCAATTGATTGTGCACGAACTCACCAATGCAAGGGTCTGGTTCTATTCTCGGTAAAGGTAGGCAACAATACAAGTGGGCAGAAAGTACACACATAGACTGCAGTATGTAAACAACCAAAGTGAGAGGCATCAAGTGTCAGAGATTCAATGCAGCCAAACTTCCTTGTAGAAATGGATGGCTCTCAGCTGGTTGAACATTGGCTGCTTTATTTCTATTCTAGCTGCACTGAAATCCTTAACCTTGCTGAAATCTGCAAGTATGTTGCTAATAATACTACTGTGTTTCCCTGGGCCTGACCAGTTGACTGTCACCTGGCAATGTGTGAAAATAAATGTGGATCAATGAAGGCTAGTCAATGTGTTCAACTCCAGACATGATCACATTCACTAGTGTTGGTACCCTCAGTTGACGCTGCAGATTATACTAGATAGACAATTTTCTTTCAAGGCTTAAACCCCATTGGGACATGAAAAGTGGTTTAGGGGCAATAGCTTCACTTCTTCTGCCTTCTACCCCCAGTGGAGCATACGCTCTCAGCCAAGTCTACCTTGACTATTGTGTGCAGCTCAATCAATATTTTTAAAAGTAAAAGTAAAGAACCCTTTTTAGGCATATAGGGCTAGACCTATATTTTATAGACCAACGGCACAAGATGAGTGATGTGGTCAGCATCACGCCGGCCGCCTTTACTTCCCGGGACTGCACCCGGTACCCACTCGAGGCTGGGTCGACCTGGGAGCCAAGGTCATTTTTGAAGAAAAGTCTGGCTCCACCAGGGAGCGAACCCATGACCTTCCGATCCGGGGCGCGCGTCTAGCCGCTCTGCCACGGCGACTCCCCATATTTTTAAAACCTCACTCTAACTCCCTTCTCCATGTATTTATTTTAGTTTGCCTTGATTTCTAATCTCTGTGGGTTCCAGTGCAAAATTATTCCAGTTTTATTGTTCTCAAGTTTTCTTAACTTATGTCCTAACCAACACCAGCTATATTTTTTGTACCCCTTGGTCCACTGGAACTTGTTTAGTTTCCTCTCAAAGCTCAACATTAGTGATTCTATCATTCAGTTGATTCCCTTTACTCCACACAGGCACCAGTTAATGAATGTTTGTAGTTTAGTAGTTGTTTTAGTTGTTCTACATGTTTTCTCTTCATCCAACAGTACTGATTTGACTTTGAAATACATTTTTCTAAATTTAGCGTTAATTTCTTTTGACCTCCAGAAATGTCCTAGTGCAATGAAAGCTAGAAATGTGGGGTGACAAATGGGAGCTAGATGTTTATCAGTCCAGCTGTTGACAATGTTCACTAACATAGAAGCTGACAATGTTAAATCCTGGGCTATTGGATGTGATGCCACCATTCTTGGACATGTATGGATAATGGCAGGTCTAGCATGCAATCCCAATCACAGAAAACAGATTAATTCCCAGCCTATTTTACCAGACATTTTCACTCACAACAAACTATAAAATAAAATTAGTGACCTTGGAAACTTCAGGTCAAAATAGACACTGTCACTGGTTTTAGTTATGGCAAATTTGTGCCTTTGGCAGTCAGTGACCATTGCATTTTCCTCCATTTGTAGACTAAAAGGGTATAGTTTTGTTGCCCAGCTTCTGAGTTGAGTGCATGGTGCAACAGTGAGAGTTGTGGATTTCATTTGGAATGTTTTTTTGTTTACTGTCACCAATGTGGGGTTGTGAACCTTAGATTCAGAAAATGGTAAATGTCCTGTTGCTACAGAATTGGTTGTGGCTTATGTGATTAATTGAGTGTGCAACTGCTGCTTCTGTTGATGATGAACTGTTTTTCCAATGTCGGACTGTCTGTGTAAGCACTTCTGATGGCTGCCTTTTACTTTTAATGAGTATGAGGCAAGTGGATATGCTGAGACTGCAATCTGTGTAGATTTTTCCACAAGCGACAGTGATAGACATCCTGTGGTGTTTTTTTGTGACACAGGAGCAGAGCAACTATGTGGTGCCTGTTTGCTATAAAGCTGAAATTAAAATTACTAGCTGCCTGAAAAAGGCTGTAGGAGTGACCAAAAGAGACAAAATCAGGAATGAAGTCATAAGAGAACAAGTCAGCACAAAACAAATTCTGAATTACATGAAAAGACAACAAATCAAATGCTTTCCCCACTCAGAAAGTATACCATGTGACGCTATGCCATGTGAGGCTGTGCCATGTGAGGCTGTGCCATGTGGGGCTGTACCATGTGAGGCTGTACCATGTGAGGCTGTACCATGTGAGGCTGTACCATGTGAGGCTGTACCATGTGAGGCTGTACCATGTGAGGCTATACCATGTGAGGCTATACCATGTGACGCTATACCATGTGACGCTATGCCATGTGATACTATGCCATGTGATGCTATACCATGTGATGCTATACCATGTGACGCTATACAATGTGATACTATACAATGTGATGCTATACCCTGTGACGCTATACCATGTGATGCTATACCATGTGATACTATACAATGTGACGCTATACCATACAAGGCATCAAAATAGAAGAGAGGAGAAGGCAAAGAACAATGTATAAAGGTAACATCAAATAAGGATTTTTCTATGATCCAGGCATCCAGAAAAGCCAGTAAAAGAACCTTTGATTGCCCTTGACACCCAATGAGGCAAACAGGACAGATAAAGGGGGAAAAAAAACGATTATATTTACATGTGCTAGCACTTCCTTTGAACAACAACATAATATAATCAGCAATATAAATTATGAAATAACAGTATAAATTATGAAATACCATACAGGCCTTTATTAATATTCATGGTGGATCAGCATACATGCTCAAGTGATAGTGGGAGCACAGATGAAGATACAAACAGTGTAGGATGGTAGATTATGAAAGACAAAAACTGGTCCATGTATATTTTATCCCACAAAAAACATAAATCACGGTATTAACACTCAGTCATTACAACCCAGGCAATATATTTGTTTTCTTTGAGATGTCAATTTTGGCTCAATACACACCTGGCACCTGACTCTATCAGTCAAGGACTAGTCCTTTCTTGAGGATAATATTTGAATATTGCTCTGTTTCACTGAAACAATGACCAACACGCACATGTCAAACAACAAAACAATTTTGTATAGCAAATACAAACCATTAATCATATCAATCAGACAATAAAATATACAGTAGTAAAGAAACAGAAATAAAATAATTCCTACAATAAAACATGAACATCAGGGTGTCAATAAGACTAACCAAAAGAATAAAGTTTACTCAATTCTATAATTACTAATCACTTTGTATCTGAGAGATGGGGAAGATCTATGAACAATTTTTCTTTGCCTTTTTTCATCTATGAACAATTTTTCTTTGCCTTTTTCACATTAATGAGATTCTGATATGAGACTGACACAAGCCAGTGCTTGACGTCAGTGTTGGAACATGACATCGATGACAAGGTGACTGGCAGGACAGTCCACATGACCTACACTACAAGGGGACTGACAGGACAGTACACATGACCCACACTACAAGGTGACTGGCAGGACACTCCACATGATTCACACTACAAGGGGACTGGCAGGACAGTACACATGATCCACACTACAAGGGGACTGGCAGGACAGTCCACATGACCCACACTACAAGGTGACCGGCAGGACAGTCCACATGAGCCACACTACAATGTGACCGGCAGGACAGTCCACATGATCCACACTACAAGGGGACTGACGGGACAGTCCACATGACCCACACTACAAGGTGACTGACAGGACAGTCCACACGACCCACACTACAAGGTGACTGGCAGGACAGTCCACACGACCCACACTACAAGGTGACTGGCAGGACAGTCCACATGAACCACACTACAAGGTGACCTGCAGGACAGTCCACATGATCCACACTACAAGGTGACCGGCAGGACAGTCCACATGAGCCACACTACAATGTGACCGGCAGGACAGTCCACATGATCCACACTACAAGGTGACTGACAGGACAGTCCACACGACCCACACTACAAGGTGACTGGCAGGACAGTCCACACGACCCACACTACAAGGTGACTGGCAGGACAGTCCACACGACCCACACTACAAGGTGACTGGCAGGACAGTCCACATGATCCACACTACAAGGTGACTGGCAGGACAGTCCACATGATTCACACTACAAGGTGACTGACAGGACAGTACACATGATCCACACTACAAGGTGACTGGCGGGACAGTCCACATGACCCACATTACAAGGTGACTGACAGGACAGTCGACATGACCCACACTACAAGGTGACCGGCAGGACAGTCCACATGATCCACACTACAAGGTGACCGGCAGGACAGTCCACATGACCCACACTACAAGGTGACTGACAGGACAGTCCACATGACCCACACTACAAGGTGACTGGCAGGACAGTCCACATGACCCACACTACAAGGTGACTGGCGGGACAGTCCACATGATCCACACTACAATGTGACTGGCAGGACAGTCCACATGATCCACACTACAAGGGGACTGACAGGACAGTCCACATGACCCACACTACAAGGTGACTGACAGGACAGTCCACATGACCCACACTACAAGGTGACTGGCAGGACAGTACACATGACCCACACTACAAGGTGACTGGCAGGACAGTCCACATGACCCACACTACAAGGTGACTGACAGGAAAGTCCACATGATCCACACTACAAGGGGACTGACAGAACAGTCCACATGACCCACACTACAAAGTGACTGGCAGGACAGTCCACATGATCCACACTACAAGGTGACTGGCAGGTCAGTACACATGACCCACACTAGAAGGTGACTGGCAGGACAGTCCACATGATCCACACTACAAGGTGACTGACGGGGCAGTCCACATGACCCACACTACAAGGTGACTGGCGGGACAGTCCACATGACCCACACTACAAGGTGACTGGCAGGACAGTCCATATGATCCACACTACAAGGTGACTGGCGGGACAGTCCACATGGTCCACACTACAAGGTGACTGGCAGGACAGTACACATGACCCACACTACAAGGTGACTGGCAGGACAGTCCACATGACCCACACTACAAGGTGACTGGCAGGACAGTCCACATGACCCACACTGAGGAAAGTATGGGTCTGGCACCAGACCCCAATATATGACGTTTGAAGAACTGGGGATCTTTATCTGCTATTTACAATTCATTGAATTAAAAAAAAAAAACACAAAGACTTTTCACTTACCCTGTATGAACAATGGCATAAGCTTTCTTGGCACGTTCATAAAAATCAAACCTTTCCACAAGCTCAATCTGCACCTGGAAATAGGAACTGCATTATGTTAAAGGAATAGGCAGAAGAAAACAAATGATAGGAAATAACACAATAAAATAAAAAATGTAATCATCATCAAGAATTAGAGAAACAAAATTCAGAAAAGGAATTGCTGAGATCAAAAGACACACAGTGCTGGATTATAACATCAGAACTAGCAGAGGTAGCAAACTATAAATAATATTTACAAAGAAACAGCAAACAAGAATATGTGGGCAGAATATACAGCTTCTCATGTTGATTCTGGGGCAAACAAGAATAGACGCATCCCTAACAAGCATATCGTAAGAGTCGACTAACTGGGGGTTTCCTTCAAAGTCGGATTGCATCAGCCTCAGAGGCAAGGAACCAACAATCTGCATACAATTAAGTCACATGTATTAAACAGATGTGCACGCAACACTCAGGTTCTGGAACAAGACCAAAGTCCCAGAAGCGGTCAAACAACCAGAACATTCTGCCGGAGCTTACAGCTGGTGAATGTGAAGAAGAATAGACAACCACTGCCTTCTGTCTGTTTCCATGTTTATAGCGTTAGGAAAACGCTGAGATCTGGGTGAATAAATGATATTTCTCTGAATTTTGTGAAAACATTAAAAAAATTCATTTTATGTGTTTCTGTGACCAGGCAAAAGGCAACTCCTCCATCTGGTGAAGAGCAAGAGTAATACAAGATAATCAGAAATAAGCTGTGGACAACTAAGATTATCTGGCGATGTTAGAAGATGAAATCTCAATGAAGAAACAAATAGAAAAAGACGCATAGGGATAAAAGCTTAGACGACATAATTATAACAGTAAAGCAACCTGATCCAAGACTGATGTGATTGTCTGAGATGGTAGACCAGAATTAAAAATAAGAGATTTGCAGGAAGAAGGGTAGCAGGTTCAAAAGAGGAAAATCCTGGGTGGGTCAGGCTGAGGACATGACTCAACAAGTTTTTTGTCTGCAGAGGACATAGATCCTGGTGAGGAATGTGTAAGTGTGCCAGCTGAATGGTATATATATATATATATATATATATATATATATATATATATATATATATATATATATATATATATATATATATATATATATATATATATATATATATATATATCCTTTTTTAGTCTGTATAAAACTGGATAGAGATTGCATAGAACAAAGCCTGCTGATGGTTGAGGCAGAAGTTCAAGCCTTAATTCTTGAAAATTCTGCTGAAGGATGTTTTATTATCTACACTGAGGATCTGTCGTTCGACATGTACAAATTTCTTAGGCTTTCACGCCTCTAGTTCTAGGAAAAACTGTAAAAGAAGATAACGGGGTTTTTGTCTCAACTAAAAGTAGTCTGACTATGGAGGTTATGATGATAACTAAAGCAAAGATGTTGCTAGAGACACAGCATTGTCCCCAGGTGTGCTTTCTAAGTGATTTTATGAGCATGCTTAAGAAGATAGAGACAGGATGGATTTGAAGAAAATGGTTGGTGTCTCTGAGGAAATATCCTCTGATAGGAATTAGTTGAATTTTTGTGTCGGGATTCTCCGGGGTAAGAGGGAAGGAACGCGCAGAATGGCTTGCTGGAAGGGCCATTGCAGGTACAGAAAAAGCAATAGAGCAGCCGATATTCTCAATGCTCTCAAGGAGGCAGGAGGAGAAGATTACTCAAGAGACTACGTTGAATCAGCAACACCTAAAAGAGCCCTAGAACTTCAGGTCAAAAGAAGCATTGCCAAACATGAACACTATGCAGGTAGCCAAAGAAGAATATTAAACCAGCACAGAACTGGTGTTATCAGTTGCTACATGCTGAGGGATATACTGAAGATGGGATCCAGTTGCTTATGGACTTGTCAGATGTGCAAGGAGGATAATCTGTCAGGTAACTAACCAACATCAGGATTGGCCACACTAACCAACATCAGGATTGGCCACACTAACCAACATCAGGATTGGCCACACTTACCAACATCAGGATTGGCCACACTAACCAACATCAGGATTGGCCACACTAACCAACATCAGGATTGGCCACACTAACCAACATCAGGATTGGCCACACTTACAAGCACAACACATGATGATGATGACTATCACATTTATCACCAAAGACATGTATATATGCATACACATCTTTTCTGACCAAGTGGTAAAGTTTTACCTCTTTATTTTCAGCTGTCTCTAAAATCAGTTTATACTGATCCCAGATGGGTGTTGGCAGACCTTTAACTTTGTCTGAAGGCACCAAGTCCATCCTAGCGACCTGTTACAAACAGCAACACATAGGTTTAACATAAGAGACAAACAGCAACACATAGGTTTAACATAAGAGACAAACAGCAACACATAGGTTTAACATAAGAGACAAACAGCAACACATAGGTTTAACATAAGAGACAAACAGCAACACATAGGTTTAACATAAGAGACAAACATGGGAGACATCGAAAATTAATAAAGGTAACAAAAAATACCTACACATATGAAAAAAGCTTTAACGCAAAAACACACAAGGACAATACAAATGAATAATAGAAAATATCCAAAGGCAATACACATAAATAAAACAAAATACACAAAGGAACTAGCCATGTATAACACAACACGCTAAAGATAACACACAAGTGTAACACAACACGCTAAAGATAACACACAAGTGTAACACAACACGCTAAAGATAACACACAAGTGTAACACAACACGCTAAAGATAACACACAAGTGTAACACAACATGCTAAAGACAACACACAAGTGTAACACAACATGCTAAAGACAACACACAAGTGTAACACAACATGCTAAAGACAACACACAAGTGTAACACAACACGCTAAAGACAACACACAAGTGTAACACAACGTGCTAAAGACAACACACAAGTGTAACACAACATGCTAAAGACAACACACAAGTGTAACACAACATGCTAAAGACAACACACAAGTGTAACACAACACGCTAAAGACAACACACAAGTGTAACACAACATGCTAAAGACAACACACAAGTGTAACACAACACGCTAAAGACAACACACAAGTGTAACACAACACGCTAAAGACAACACACAAGTGTAACACAACATGCTAAAGACAACACACAAGTGTAACACAAATGATCACTTCTCATGACATTTACAACTGTGTTATAATTTTGTGTACTTTCTGTGTGCTCTCTGGCTGTAGAGAGTCTATTTTGTGAGCTCTCTGGCTGTAGAAAGTGAATTTTGTGTGCTCTCTGGCTGTAGAGTCAATTTTGTGTGCTCTCTGGCTGTAGAAAGTCAATTTTGTGTGCTCTCTGGCTGTAGAAAGTCAATTTTGTGTGCTCTCTGGCTGTAGAGTCAATTTTGTGTGCTCTCTGGCTGTAGAGTCAATGTTGTGTGCTCTCTGGCTGTAGAGTCAATTTTGTGAGCTCTCTGGCTGTAGAAAGTCAATTTTGTGTGCTCTCTGGCTGTAGAGTCAATTTTGTGTGCTCTCTGGCTGTAGAGTCAATTTTGTGTGCTCTCTGGCTGTAGAGAGTCAATTTTGTGAGCTCTCTGGCTGTAGAGTCAATTTTGTGTGCTCTCTGGCTGTAGAGTCAATTTTGTGTGCTCTCTGGCTGTAGAGAGTCAATTTTGTGAGCTCTCTGGCTGCAGAAAGTCAATTTTGTGTGCTCTCTGGCTGTAAACTCAAACAGTATGGCTGGCAGAAATTAGATTTTGTATGGTAGATAGCAGAACGAGAGAAAACAATGTGTTGTGAGACAGGACAGACAGATAAGTAATGCCAGAAAAGAATTAAGTAAGAGTGAAGTGAAAGAGCAGCTCGTATATGTAACAGGGAAACTGCACGAATTGCGCATGATTAAATATCACACCAAGGATCTACAAGCTCATCGTAGCCTTCAACTTTGCTTCTAGGACCTTTCCACAACATTCAGTGTAGCAAAACAGTGCAGTGCTAAAAGGGCTACTTGCTAATCAATTTATGGTGTCCTTGGCCTGGTTTTCTAGAAACTTCCAGCGATTTAGTTAGAATTATAACTTGACCCTGCCTTCCACTACATGAAAACACACTGTTGACAACATTTTTGAATTTTATGAGGATTTTGTGTTTCGAACACCCAATATCTGGGTGCAAAACATGCTGGAAGATTCTGGAAGCAAGTTGATGGTGCCCATATAAGTGAGTGGCTGGGCCCCTCAGAGCAGAGGGAGGGCAGGCCAGGTTGGGCTCGTTGTCTTCAAGACCCCTAGCTAGAATAGATCATCATCATCATGTAGCAGGTCCTTTGCAGAACGTCGCTCTCATCACCTTCTGCCTGAAAGAAACTCGGTCTCTCATCAGCTCTCCCGCCTCATATACTTTCATACTCCATAAGTCACTTATATCCTGTGCCCATCTTCGTATCGGTCGGCCTCTGCCCTTCCTTCCTGGTACCATGCCTTCTGCTATAATTTTTTCCAATCCGTCGGGCGCTTGATATGACTAAAATATTTCAGCTTCCAAGAAAGGATGCTGTTTATTAGCCAATCTTCCTCGATGTTCAGATCTTTCAAGATGTCAGTATTTCTACTCTTCTTTGTCAAAGATATTCTGAGAATCTTTCTATAGCAGTTCAGCTCAAAAGCCCCTATTCTCTTTCTTAAGGACTGAGAGATAGTCCACGACTCACATCCGTATGTAGCCACAGGGAAGATGCATGCTCTCAAAATTCTAATTTGTATCTCCTTGCTGGTGCTTAACCATAGACATAGAATAGATATGACATGTTAAACTGAATCAGCTTAACTTACTTGATCACTTTGAGTAGTAGAGAAAAAAAAAGAATAGTTAAAAGAGACTAAGCTTAAATAAATGAAATAAAATTGAAAAGTGTGAATTTGTAGACTTGAGATGTATTAGACAGTCAGTTTGAGGCGTAAGGTGGTGTACTTATTATAAAGTTTATTTTTGAGGATGAAAACGGAACTATCATACTATGATGGAGATAGAAGGTTTCCAAATCATAACTAACAAGAATGAAGATATGCCCACTAGACAGCTGCACAGACACCTCAGTAGTGTCAACTGAATACTGGCAATGAAGCAGACTCTGTTAGAAAGAGAGAGAGAGAGAGAGAGAGAGAGAGAGAGAGAGAGAGAGAGAGAGAGAGAGAGAGAGAGAGAGAGAGAGAGAGAGAGAGAGAGAGAGAGAGAGTTGTTGGAAACATTCTAACTTCCCCTTGCTTTGATGTGTTCAATGGCAGTCTTTCAGTGTCAGCCAGGGAAGAAAAAAATCATACATGTTAGTTCAGGAGCACATGTACAATCTTGCAGAAATGAAAGAACCAATCAGACATGTTAGTTCAGGAGTTAGATTAGTTGTGTATCCTTTACAGGACGTTGCAGAACCAACACCAACAGCCCCTAGCTAATGTGTGGTTTTTCTAGGCAAATTTATACATCCATTAGTTTGCCATTGCTTTCTGGACGGTCGGTTTCTTGATACCACTGTCGAAACCAATACAAGGCGCATGGCCCGCAGCTGGGATCGAACCCGGCATCCTGGCATTACAAAGCGTTCGCATCAACTTAGTAGCCACAGAGCCGACAGTTGAGGTGTACATGGACAATATTCCAGGAATGACAGAACCAATCAGACATGTTAGTTCAGAAGTTCCCTCAAAGTCGGACTGCATCTGCCTGAGAGGCAAGGAACCAGCAGTCTGCATACAAATGAGTCAGATCTGTAAAACGGATGCACATGCAACATTAAGGTTCTGGAACACGAATGCAGTTCAGAAGTGGATGAACAACCAAAACTTTCCGCCAGAGTTCGCAGCTGATGAACACGAAGAAGAAGAAGATGAAGTTCAGGAGTATACGGACAATGTTCAAGGGAAGAAAAAACCGATCAGACATGTTAGTTCAGGAGTACATAGACAATATTCCAGGGAAGTCACTTCAATTGCATGTTTTAAATGGTGACATACATCCATGTTCATTTCCCTGTTAATTGTTTGGCCTTCACAAACAAACTGACGGCAGATAGTAGAGTTGGGATTTGAAACTTCAAACATTACAACTGTGTTTTTGTACATATGACTGTAGCTGATATTTTATTAAGCAAAACAGTTATCAATAAATTTAATACAAACAAACAAGCAGTTACAAAGCAGCGACGGTGTGCACTGAAACTCACAAGAATATGTAAATATATTCACAGATTAATAATAAATGTAGGCACTGATTCAGAAATCACTAAAATAATTAATAATTTCATGAATAAAACAAGTAAATGCAACTTAATTAAACTCACAGGATAATCCACATACTGATCCAAGGGAAACAGCTGTACAATTCCCTTCAGCAGCACAGCAGCTCCCAGACCTGAAAGTATATTGCTTGCATCTTTTGACTAGTGATCACAGCTTTAATGGACATGAAAGAATAAGAAGAAAGCAGAGACCCAAAGAACACCAACACTACAACCGACCACACATGTTATAAACAACCACCAAAGGAAGGTAAGGTGGTAGTGGCTACTTCAAATGTAGACAATTTTGGCTGCAAATATTCCCTGTGGAGCACAGGCTCTCCACAACTTACACCCAGCAATTAGCAGATCTGTGTATAATTTTGTAAAAAAAAAATAAAAAAAACCACTCACACACACTGAAACAATCTGAGATATTGGCATCAGCTTTTATCAATAACAAAAATACAACAACAATCACTGTTGTTTAAAACTGTTCACATATTACAAATAGCTTGCTACATGGTGAGGCAGTCTCATATCAGTTTTCCTTAGTAGCCTCTTGTGACATGCATGGTCAGTTAGTCTGACTTCTGTATGGGTTCTGGGGCCTCGGGGTTAGGGACAGACCCACTGCTCCTCATCAAGCATGTAACAAAAGTCGACTAATTAGAGGTGTTTCCTCTGAAGTCTGAGTACATCTGCCTGAGAGACGAGGAAACAACAGTGAAACAACCTGAGAGACGAGGAAACAACAGTGAAACAACCTGAAAGACGAGGAAACAACAGTGAAACAACCTGAGAGACGAGGAAACAGTGAAACAACCTGAAAGACGAGGAAACAACAGTGAAACAACCTGAGAGACGAGAAAACAACAGTGAAACAACCTGAAAGACGAGGAAACAACAGTGAAACAACCTGAAAGACGAGGAAACAACAGTGAAACAACCTGAGAGACGAGAAAACAACAGTGAAACAACCTGAGAGATGAGGAAACAACAGTGAAACAACCTGAAAGACGAGGAAACAACAGGGAAACAACCTGAGAGACGAGGAAACAACAGTGAAACAACCTGAGAGATGAGGAAACAACAGTGAAACAACCTGAAAGACGAGGAAACAACAGTGAAACAACCTGAGAGACGAGGAAACAACAGTGAAACAACCTGAAAGACGAGGAAACAACAGGGAAACAACCTGAGAGACGAGGAAACAACAGTGAAACAACCGTGAAACAACCTAAAAGACGAGGAAACAACAGGGAAACAACCTGAGAGACGAGGAAACAACAGTGAAACAACCTGAGAGACGAGGAAACAACAGTGAAACAACCTGAAAGACGAGGAAACAACAGTGAAACAAGCTGAGAGACGAGGAAACCAGTGAAACAACCTGAGAGACGAGGAAACAACAGTGAAACAAACAAAAGCCAGATATGTGAAAATTATTTGCAAGCAAAACTCAGGTTCTAGAACAAGATCAAAGTCCTGAAGTAGATGAACAACCAGAACTTTTCACCAGTTTACAGCCAGTGAATGTAAAGTAGATGAACAACCAGAACTTTTCACCAGTTTACAGCCAGTGAATGTGAAGTAGATGAACAACCAGAACTTTTCACCAGTTTACAGCCAGTGAATGTGAAGTAGATGAACAACCAGAACTTTTCACCAGTTTACAGCCAGTGAATGTGAAGTAGATGAACAACCAGAACTTTTCACCAGAGTTTACAGCCAGTGAATGTGAAGTAGATGAACAACCAGAACTTTTCACCAGAGTTTACAGCCAGTGAATGTGAAGTAGATGAACAACCAGAACTTTTCACCAGAGTTTACAGCCAGTGAATGTGAAGTAGATGAACAACCAGAACTTTTCACCAGAGTTTACAGCCAGTGAATGTGAAGTAGATGAACAACCAGAACTTTTTCACCAGAGTTACAGCCAGTGAATGTGAAGTAGATGAACAACCAGAACTTTTCACCAGAGTTTACAGCCAGTGAATGTGAAGTAGATGAACAACCAGAACTTTTCACCAGAGTTTACAGCCAGTGAATGTGAAGTAGATGAACAACCAGAACTTTTCACCAGAGTTTACAGCCAGTGAATGTGAAGTAGATGAACAACCAGAACTTTTCACCAGAGTTTAAAGCCAGTGAATGTGAAGTAGATGAACAACCAGAACTTTTCACCAGAGTTTACAGCCAGTGAATGTGAAGTAGATGAACAACCAGAACTTTTCACCAGAGTTTACAGCCAGTGAATGTGAAGTAGATGAACAACCAGAACTTTTCACCAGAGTTTACAGCCAGTGAATGTGAAGTAGATGAACAACCAGAACTTTTCACCAGAGTTTACAGCCAGTGAATGTGAAGTAGATGAACAACCAGAACTTTTCACCAGAGTTTACAGCCAGTGAATGTGAAGTAGATGAACAACCAGAACTTTTCGCCAGAGTTTACAGCCAGTGAATGTGAAGTAGATGAACAACCAGAACTTTTCACCAGAGTTTACAGCCAGTGAATGTGAAGTAGATGAACAACCAGAACTTTTCACCAGAGTTTACAGCCAGTGAATGTGAAGTAGATGAACAACCAGAACTTTTCACCAGAGTTTACAGCCAGTCAATGCGAAGTAGCAGACGACTATTGTCTGTCTCTATTATGGAATTACATGAAGACACATGGACAACATTCAACATTACATGAAGACATGGACAACATTCAACATTACATGAAGACACATGAACACTTTAATTATAAAATATAATGTGTATGAGTAAAACTGCTACGCACCGTCAGCTCTGACCTGTATAGGACCTTTGCTACATATTGAGGTCGTCGGAAAATGAGCATCTGCCAAAACTATGAAAAGAAAAAATGTGTCTATAGTAAACAGAAGACATTTCTTTTAATAAATTAAAATTGAAATAACAAATAAACACAAATAAAATAAAATTGGTGTATAGAAATAAAAAACTATGAAACCTCACAAAGTTGTTGGATACAGAATCAACACTTAGCACTGATTATTCAAATGTTCGCATTGATCACTTCAAATTATATGTTGAATATTAGAAAAGAAAGGCTATCCTCCATATAACAGTTGGTAAAGATGTAGGCTGCAAAATATCCTTTCGAGCCGCAGTCACATGTTGTAAAAATTCAAAAATTGAAGTCAAAACTAATAAAGAGTGAAAAAAAGTTATGTCAAACCGACTACTTACCGATAATTGTATGCCTTTATATCTGGAAATTATGGCACAGACGTTCTAAATAGTGCTCGAAAATCTGCTGTTTGTGGCCATTGAAACTCGGCTAAGTACGATTGGAACAAGGCGCGGCTCGCACTGCATGGGTAACGAAGCTTTCTTTTTAGTAGCATCCACAGACCGGCTATCCTCCGAATAACGGGCACAAAAGATGTCGACCAAAAACAGGGCCTCAGTCACGTGTCAATTGCGAACTTCTGGCGACTTAATTTGCGGTTTTCTGGCGACTACTGCCACAGCCGAGTGTAGCCCCCACGCCACGTGGATTGGGGCTAAACTAGATGGCTAGGACTCACAAGCAAAGCTGCAGGAGATGCGGAAGCTGCTGCACGTGGGTCCCAGCCATCTAGTTTAGCCCCATCCACATGGCGCGGGGGAGACTCTTGGCGGCGAGTTCAACTCAGCTGTTTGTTCCGTTTCTCGGAATTGTCAACAAACACTAATCCTAGTTTTCCCGCGATGTGCTCGTGACCGGTAGTGGACAATTGACACGTGACTGTGGCTCGTCAGGATATTTTGCAGCCGCCATCTTTACCGACCGTTAGTCGGAGGATAGCCGAAAAAAATACTGCTAAAATTATAAAAATAACATTCTGCCAGACAAATCAGAAGGTTGTGGGTTCAAATCCAAACGGAACCAGATGTTGTTTTATGACCTTGTCTCCCAGGTCGACCCCAGACTTAAATGGATACGAGGTAAAGTACTGGGAAGTAAAGATGACCGGTGTGATGTTGACTACATTCCCCAACACTATCATATAAAATATGAGTAGAGAATGGGCCCGTTTTAATCCTTTGAGTTGCCGTCCTTCTCTTTCTGAGTTTGACGTCTGAGACTGGCTCCAGTACACGAACCAGCTCTGTCGCCGTTACTCACTCACTCACTGTGTGTCTCAAATAATAATAATATAATTAGATATATTATATACAATCAAAGCAATCAATTAACAAGCAACCACATAAAGTAGAAAATATAACATGAACTAACTAATTTCATCACCGTGTCCCATTTCAGCGAGAACTTTGAGAAGATCAGGTGAAAGCTGTCTTGGGATTCCCTTGAGAGGCATCTTGAGAGGACAGAGGGTAGGTTTCTGGCAGGTGGTTGTCAGTTCAGTGGTCGTGTGTTCGACAACAGTCACTGGTCAGCCCTTTTGTTGCTTTGAGGCGACCTCTAACTTCTGACCTTTCACCCCAAATCAGGCCTTTGACATCCGAGGTCAGTGTAAGTGACGAACATTAACAACATGTGGCTATTACATACAACTTCTTTAAATTTTAGAATAAGGCACAAAGGACATTTATCATATACATTAAAATATATTATTCGGCTCTGTGGCTAAGTCGGTGCGAACACTTCGTAATGCCGGGGTGCCGGGTTCGATCCCAGCTGCGGGCCATGCGCCTTGCGTTGGTTTCGACAGTGGTATCAAGAAAGCCGACCGTCCAGGGGGAAATGGCAAACTACTAAACGTAAATTTGCCTAGAAAAACCACACAACAGCCAGGGGCTTTGGGGTTGGTTCTGCAACGTCCTGAAAAGTATACGCAACTAACCTATTAAAATATTCAGTCTTTAGCGTTCAGCCATATTCTGGGCTGAAAGAAATCTAACCGGATTATAATAATCAAAATACTGATGGAAAGGACTGATCAGTCAATGAAGAATTGCCTTCACCGCACTCGGGACACGCCCACACGTGCTCCGTCTCCTTCCTCGGTAGCCAACGAAAAATCGATATTCTAATACATTAGTTCTTCTTCCAATCTGATTCCTATTTCGCCTCTGTTTTCTCCGCAATCTGGATTATCTTTCAGACCCGCTGTTCAGTCACCGCTGAAATAGTCTATCAGTTCAGTAGTTTGTATAAAACAACGGATCAACGTCATAGCACAGGGTGTAAGCCACAAGTGCTCCGTTCTACTTCTAACTCAAGTCTGATCCTGAAGAATCTCAGCGCAGTGAACGAACTCCGTAGCACCGGCGAGAAACCTGAAATTTTGCCCGGGCAGCGTCGTTAGACTACTCTTTTCTATTACCGACTGCCAAGGGATTTTTTTACGTGCCCAACAATACACACGGGCATCCGATCTTACTACCCAGAGACCAGTGGAAATTACTAGAAGTCCACGTACACGAATCCCAGCCTTCACCGGGACCTCCAGCACTCGAGGCGAATAGTCTGTCAATACCCAGTCTGTCAATACCCATAGTCTGTCAATACCCAGTCTGTCAATACCCAGTCTGTCAATACCCATAGTCTGTCAATACCCATAGTCTGTCAATACCCATAGTCTGTCAATACCCATAGTCTGTCAATACCCATAGTCTGTCAATTCCCATAGTCTGTCAATGTATGGATAACCGGTCTGCTCTGCTGTACCTTTCACTTGATCATTGATCGCCTTCTCTACGTCCGCTTTATCGTAACGTAGCTCACCACCCAGAGGGATGGCAGCAGGCGATCTATCACCCTGTTCATTTCCCCACACATCCAAATATAGGGGACAGAAAATCCACGATATGCTCCTGATCAGAGTCGTGTCAAGCGATGCAAACTACTCACGCGTGGGACGTCAGTATCCACATACCGGGACCTGCTGCTCTCAAGTCCATTGTTGACATTTGGCATAAAGCCTGTTATTAGTCATGATCTTGTTATTTTTTTTTTAAATATGTAAACAAAAGTCTAGTTTTCATTTTACTTTATATTCGGTTTATGAAGAAAGAGAGACTCTTGATTTAAAACAAACAGACAGCATGCTCACTGTAACTTGAGTCAGGTAAGGGGAACTTTTCAAAACATCAAATTACCCCGTGCCATCGGTGTTTCACTCTCATGTGGTCATCTCCAGCATGAGTCTCCCGTAAGTTGCGTATTTTCACTGAGTAGGGAATATGTTCTCAAAATAATCACCATGCATTGCTTAAGGCGGGAAATGATTTCTTAACAATTTCCACGCCTATGTCTTATTACTGTGTATTTTATTTTTCAGGGTACAGAAATGATTAGTCAAACAAAACGCCCAACACTCTAGGGAAGGGCGAGACGGATATACAATAAGACAGTTACTGGTGCCATCGGTATTGGAGATCTTCTTTTGTTGCTGAAGATGGGGGTGTCCCGAACACTATGGTAACGATTCCTAATTCAACATTTACAATTTTTTAAACATTCAAACAAAGATCAAATAAACTCGCCGCTTCAAGAAAACAACAGCATCTGCGCAATTTTAATAGGAATAAACTCACAGGGAGCAAGTACAGCAGGGATCTACCAGTCGTCAGTAGAAATTATCCTCGTCAACGAGCGTTTCGGCCCACTATTCCTAGACGCTTTCGGAGGTGGGCCCACCTGAGTTCATGAAGCTCAGGGCTGGTTCCCTGCAGCACGAGATTACCGGATGGTGTTTTTCTTTCGGCCAGAGACAAGACGACTTGGTGGTTTCGCAGAAGGTACTGTGAGATAAGAAGTCGTCGCGGCAGCCTAATTAGAACAGTCAGCGTGCCTGGACGACCGAACGACAAGCTTACGATTGGTTTACCGGACACATGTTGGACTTTTGTTAGCAGGTGGCAGAGGAACACTGGCAGACAATTCGGACACGATGGACTTTCAAAGGGTGAGAAACCCTTTTCCACTAGAGACCCGGACCAGCTCACCGAGGCCCGTCCCCTACGTTGTTGCGTTGCGTCCAAAGCCAGCTAGAGGCCCTTTCGGCTACCTCTCCCAGTTTTTTTAGTGTTCGTTTCCGTTCATTACCGCGCAATCTTAGTTCTTTAACCACATTGTAGAGCAAAGTGGAGACGAGGCCTCTCGCTCCCACTTCGACGGCAAAGACCCATACGGTGTACGCCTCGTTTCTCCTCAGACCGGCTGCTAAATCACTGTATTTCTCGAGCTTATACATGTGATTCTCCTCCATACGCGACTCATATGGGACAGTCAGCCCAATCAGGATGAGCTGCCGTTTTTGCGCAGAGTGGAGAACTATGTCCGGTCGCAGGCCGGTCTTCCGGATCAACTCGGGGTACCTTTCATGGCCGGCATATCAACCGCCAGTAACCAGTCCCTCGCAGAGTCTAGCACAGATGGAGAGAATGCGTTTTGGTTGACCTTACCTTTTGGAACCTGCCCAGCCTTGAGGAAACGAATGGGGACGATACTAGAACTGGCTCTGGCGTTAGCCCTCATTCTAGCCTGGTCGACAACGGCTGCTAACTCTTTTAGCACCTTGTTGTGCCTCCAGGTATATCGGCCTTGACCTAGGGCTTTCCTGCACGCGGACAGGACGTGCTCAAGAGTTTGTAAATTATATAATCACAGGAACACGGGAAGGCTAAGGCCACTTGGAAAAATTCCAATTGACTCGTAAATGAGTGTTCGAGATATTTTTAAAGTTGGACGACATGAGTTTTGAAACGCACCATAGTAGTAATTTTTTTCAAAAATATCGTGTTCAATCCTCAGGGTTAGAACTGGAGTATTTAGTCTACATGAGGCTCTCCGTAGATTGTTGGTATTTGATATATCATGTATTTATTTACTGAAGACATACATGTAATTTGTACTGTGTCCATTAGGTTAGTTGCGTATCCTTTACAAGACCTTGCAAAACCAGCCCCAGCAGACCCTTGGCTGTTGTGTGGTTTCTCTAGGCAAATTTACGTCCAGTAGTTTGTCATTACTACTGGACGGTCGGGCCCCCTGATACCACTTGTGACAATACGCTCGGTGACTCCAGAATGTCTTTCCTCAACCTACTTTTATTTGTGTGTATTTTGAAGTATACAGACAAATAGGGATTTGGATACATCCTTAATCTAAATAGGATGACCACATCACACCTTTAATTCTCCTGGACCGTTGGTCATATCAAACACTAAAACTTTTCCCCAGATGTTAAGTGTTAAGGTACAGAGACAAGACTGACCAAGCAGACTTACTGACTGGAGATTTGCACACCATTTGTTGGTGTCAGATAGTTATTCCCCCTGCCAGATCTTCAGGAACAGATAACAAGGGCTAATTGCCATTATCTCCCCCTGAGGTTACCTAACTCGACGGCAGGTCCGACGGTCACTATTGACACAGTGAGCGGAAAGTGTTGGCAGAAGAATTGACAAAGTCTGATTTTATTGTGATGGCAGGTGAAGTAGGCCGGAGGTGTGACTTGTCTTATTTGCTCTGGTCAGCTTAATTGAACCAGGAGATCCTAGCGTGGGAATTCAAACAATTGTTGTACAGTCACTGACTGACAGTGAATATACACCCACAAGGGAGGAGCTGTAATATCCTTGAATGAGAATGATTTTAGGCGTAATGTAGGAGGAGCTTGATAAAAGTTATAAAGGGCTGAACTTAAGGTCTGGTAAATGAGATCCTGTCCAGCACATGCCATCTGTTGGGCTTAACCTAAGCTTGAGACAGAACTTTTGGCATTGTGGTTTCATTTTTCCAGGTAAGATCGAAATTAGTTTCAAAACCTTTATTTTATTTATGATAGAGATCTAACTGTCTTTTTGCTCAAGTGTGTGTCTTCATCACTTTGTAATACTCCTAGGCGGACATTTCTTCATTCTCGTAGGGCACTGTCACATTGCTTTATATCCTAACTTATAGTGTCATGAATGTTTTTTTCGTGTACGTGTGTTTCAATGTTGTAAAACCTAAATGTTGTTGTTGCCATTGAAATTTAATGAACTATCATGTTTTTGAAATCACAAGCGTGAAGATAACTTTGGCAATCTTTTCACGTGTGGTTAATGTGAATCTGTATTACATACAGCTTACACACTGAAATGTGTTTAACTCTCAGGAGGCTAATGCGGAGATTGATCCCGGAGAGTAAATCCACGAGATTTGTTATTTGATTCGCACCAGAACTATTGTTAGCATTCTGGGCGCGTCGATTGTTCCAAGCATAGATTCCAGAACTGGTTCAGTCCGACTGATTGTCATTTTGAGTCTGTACGAGAGATGGCACCTGACGTAGAAGACTTGACTATCATTATAGGACGTGTAGAGGAAGGCAGAAGATGTAACAGTTGGAATGTGAGACATAAGCCC